GCTGCTGCCGCTGCGTGCGGACAGCGCGACCACGGCCGACCCTCGCCGGCCGTCCGGCAATAATTCCCGTGAAATCTGACCTCAATTAACATAACCTGACTCAACATGAACATGATCATCAAAATGACTTAAAAACATAACTTTGTGCACAATCAACTAAATGGGCCGTGGCGAGCGCGCCGTGCGCCGCCGACGGCGATGGGCCGTCTCTCGACCGAATCATCTTTTCCCTCGGCAACTCCAGACCAATTAAACATGGAATATTATTTTAAAGCAGTTGAGACATAAATGCTCGGACAAACTTAACTATAACCAAAAATTTCATATCATGACACGGTAGTGCCCGCGGCGTGCGCGACGAGCGCTGCCGACGGCTTTGAGCCATTTCACTAATAAAACAACATTTTTCCTCGACTGTCATCAAGTAACTGAACATAAAATGAGGTAAACTGATCATTTAAACATGAATGGTTCGTGAGTTGCCGGGTAAAACGAGAAGTTACTCGATCAAAACTTTACTAAGCATAATCTAACCTTAATACGACATAACTATGAGTTCTTGAATGTGAGTCGAACACTATAGCTTAGAATGGAATTATTAGCATGAAAATGAGTTGAGGATGACTTTACCTCCTCAAGTGTTCGACGGGAACTCGCAACTGATTGGAGCCTAGCGTGAGCGTGTTCGTGTGCGGTGCTTGTGTGCGGGCTTGCCGTGTGATGCTTACGGTGCGGGCGGAAGCTAATTTCCGTGTGTGAGGAGTAAACGTGGCCTTCTTAAAGCTTGTTGATCGTAAGAAATATTTGGGAGGAGGATGTACTGAACATAGCTTACCTATACTTAAGGAAAGTTGGAAAAAAAATCGTCCATACCCCCACTTATATACATGACCGAATGGAGCTACAATTTGGGGTGATGATGATGGCTTAACGTGGCATTATTAGGCTTGAACATTTGCCAACTTAAGAGTTACATCTTGGGTGACTAATCACCATTAAACTTCCTTAATGGGACACGTATTACTCTTACAAATGAATAAGGAATTTTCCAAATCTTTAAGGAAATTAGTACACGGCATTAGCTACTAGTGAAAGGATTAAGCACGACTTTTAGCCCTAATGTGTAGGATTAATGCTAATTAATCACTTAACTTATGTTTAATTATTTAATTAAACATAATGCTTAATTACCAAAATTATTCCGAACGTAAACGATACGTCGAAAATAATTTTCGGTAATCTCGACTGAAAATAATTAATTCCGAAAATTAATACTTGACAAGATTAATAAATCGGAATTAAAACATAATTTATACTGACGAAATAACGGGACATTACAATCCTCCCTCCTTACAAAATTTCCGTCCTCGGAAATTCAAAATATAGCTGATAATACATGAACTATGTACATAGAACATAAAATATGTACATCAAAACTGAAAATCTGGAAAACAAGCGCGAATATCGGACTCCTCCTCCCAAGTAGCTCCGTGGCGATCCCACTGAATACGCACGAGGGGAATATCTCGCTTCCGGAGCCGACGAACCTGACGGTCTAGTACAGCTACCGGTCGCTCCTCGTACGAAAGATCTGGCTGAACCTGAATATCTGAATGGGGAATGACATGATCGGGGTCGCACACGTACTTACGCAACATCGATGCGTGAAATACATTATAAATGCCTGATAACTCGGGAGGTAGGGCTAATCGATACGCGACCTCGCCTACTCGTTCGAGAAACTCGGACGGACCGATGAATCGAGGGTGCAGCTTCCCTCTCTTTCCGAATCGCACAACTCCGCGAATCGCATGAACTCTGAGAAAGGCTGGCTCGCCAACCTCAAACTGAATGTCTCGTCGATGATGATCGGCTGAAGATTTCTGTCGACTCTGAGCCGTCCTGAGTCTCTGCCGGATCAACTCGACCTGATCTGCTGTCTCCTCGATCAACTTAGGACCGAATACTCGCCGCTCTCCGACGTCGTCCCAATAAAGAGGGGAACGACATTTGCGACCGTAAAGTGCCTCATAAGGAGCCATCTGAATGGAAGAATGATAGCTGTTGTTATACGCGAACTCGGCGTACGGCAACAACGACTCCCACTTAGCACCCCTGTTAACAACCAAAGCGCGAAGCATATCCTCAAGCGTCTGAATGGTCCGTTCAGACTGACCATCTGTCTCCGGGTGGTAGGCTGAACTGAACTCTAACTTCGTGCCCATCGCCTCATGTAAACTATGCCAGGATCGACTGACGAATCTGGGATCTCTATCAGATACGATCGTAATGGGCACTCCGTGGAGTCGGATGAACCCACGGGTATATATCTCAGCCAACTTGTCCAGAGACATCTTCATCGAAACGGGTAAGAAATGTGCGACCTTAGTCAATCTGTCGACCACGACCCAAATAGCGTCGTGATGTTCAGACGACCTCGGCAATCCCGTAACGAAATCCATCGTGACTTCCTCCCACTTCCACCTCGGAATCGGCAGTGGCTGCAGGAGGCCGATCGGACTCTGATGTTCGGCTTTGACTTGCTGACAGGTAAGACATCTCCTGACGAACTCGACGACGTCCTTCTTCATGCCTCGCCACCAGAACGACCCTTTCAGGTCATGATACATCTTCGTGCTCCCGGGATGGGCTAGATAGGGTGCGGTATGAGCCTCTGATAAAATCTCTTTCCGCAACGCCTCAACTTTCGGGACCACGATCCTGCCTCTGAACTCTAGGGCACCATCGGCACCTAGCTGAAAACCCTCGATGCCTCCGGCGCGAACTTTGGCCTCCATGACACGAACGAACTCGTCAGAAGCCTACTCTCGCCGGATTCTTTCTCTCAGCGTCGGCTGAAGCTGCATTGCACTGACACTGGCACTGGTACTTTCCGAAACGGCTATGGGAAGTGTATCAATCGCCTGAAGCTTCATCCGGGCAAACTCCTGAATCAAAGGACTCTGCTGAGTAATGACGTACGTCAAGTCACCCCTCACCTTTCGGCTTAGGGCGTCAGCAACGACGTTCGCCTTTCCCGGATGATACTGAATAGAGCAGTCGTAATCCTTGACGAGCTCTAACCAACGGCGCTGTCTCATGTTGAGCTCCTTCTGAGTAAAAATATACGGCAGGCTCTTGTGATTTGTGAAAATCTCACAATGACCGCCGTAAAGATAATGTCGCCAAATCTTGAGAGCATGAACGACTGCGGCTAACTCCAAGTCGTGCGTCGGATAGTTCTGCTCATGCGGCTTAAGCTGACGTGAAGCATACGCAACGACCTGACCATCCTGCATAAGGACACATCCCAAACCCTGTCTCGAAGCATCGCTGAAGATAGTAAAACTCCGAGAAGGATCGGAAATAGTCAACACTGGTGCTGAAATTAACCTCCTTTTGAGCTCCTGAAAGCTCACCTCACAACGATCAGTCCACTCTAACTTCACAGACTTCCTCGTCAGTTGGGATAGAGGGAGGGCAATCTTAGAAAAGCCCTCGATGAACCTGCGATAGTAACCAGCTAGACCGAGAAAACTGCGAACCTCGGACGGACTCCTCGGTGTCGACCAGTTCTGAACGGCTGATACCTTGGAAGGATCCACCTCGATACCTGCCTGAGTAGTCACATGACCCAGAAAGGATACTCGCTGGAGCCAGAACTCGCATTTGGAGAATTTTGCAAACAGCTTTTCTCGTCTGAGGGTTTCGAGAACCACCCTCAGATGCTCCTCGTGCTCCTTCTGGCTCTTCGAGTAGATAAGAATATCGTCAATAAAGGCAATAACGAACTGATCGAGGTAGGGATGGAAAATACGGTTCATGAGGTCCATGAAAACAGCTGGAGCATTGCTGAGGCCGAATGGCATGACGACGAACTCGTAATGGCCGTAACGAGTCTTGAAAGCGGTCTTAGCGATATCTGACTCCTTAATCTTCAGCTGGTGGTAGCCTGATCGTAAATCAATCTTTGAGAACACACAGGCTCCCCTCTGCTGATCAAATAAATCGTCGATCCTGGGCAGTGGGTACTTGTTCTTGATCGTCAACCGGTTAAGATCCCGGTAGTCGATACACATGCGCATGGATCCGTCCTTCTTCTTAACAAAGCGAACGGGTGCTCCCCAAGATAACACGCTCGGTCGGATGAAACCGAGTTGTAACAGCTCCTGAATCTGAGTCTTAAGCTCCTGCAACTCCTTAGTCGCCATACGGTACGGGGCTTTGGACACTTGACCGGCCCCTGGAATAAGATCGATAGAGAACTCCACCTGCCGGTTAGGCGGTCCTCCTGGAAGCTCGTCTGGAAACACGTCCACAAACTCACGAACGATTAGAACATCATGAGGTGAGCGTGCTTTCTGAGAATCGTTGACAAGGCTCACCAGATAACCCTGGCAGTTGCCTCGTCGCAGTAGCTTAGTGGCTTTCGCCATTGAAAAAACATGAAGCAGTGAACGATTCCTGGAGCCAAAGAAAGTGATCGACTCGTCTCCCGGAAGATAGAGAGTGATCTCCCGGTCATGACACCTGATGTCTGCATGATAGAAGGATAGCCAATCCATTCCGAGAATAAGGTCGAAGTCCCTCATCTCGAGAACAAACGCGTCGGTAGACAATACTCGGCCACCGATGGAAAGGCTAAGATCTGAGGCTTTAGCTGAGGTCACTATCTTTCGTCCCGAGGCTAAACTCACCTCGAGAGGATCGACAGCGGCAACAGCGTGAACTCCGATGGCATCAAGACATCGTCGTGATATGAATGAATGCGTTGCTCCAGTATCGAACAAAGCGAAAACAGGAATATCATTAAGCACAACCATCCCTGACATAGTACCTGGCTGCTGTGCTGCCTCTGCCTGATCGACCGCGTAGACTCGGGCCTGTTGTCTGCCCCTCTGTTGCTGCTGCTGAGGCTGCCTCTGCGCCTGCTGACGTGGCTGCTGCTGCTGCGGTGGCTGCGGAGGCTGCTGAGGCTACTGCTGAAGTCTCTTTGGACAGCGACTCACAAAGTGTCCAGGCTCGTGGCAATAGTAGCAGATATCCTGACCCATGTGGCACTCTCCCCTATGAAGTCGTCTGTAGGTCGGGCACGGTGGAACCTGCTGCTGTCTTTGTCGGGTCCTCCGGTCAGTCGGTGCGCCCTTCCCCTTCCTCTTCTTCTCCTTTGCCGGCTGAGCAGCTGGTAGGGCTGGTGGAGCTGCAAATGGCTGAATTGGGGCAGATTGTTGGGCACGATCACGAACAGCCTCCCTCCTGATGCTAGCGTCCACCTCCTGGGCGATAGAAACTGCGCGAGCATAGGTCTGAGTCCCGTGCCCCACGATGTTATGACGGACTGCTGGGAAAAGCCCGTCAATAAACAGTTGTGCTCTTTGGGCCTCCGTGCGAACCAGGTCCGGTACGAAAGCTGCAAGTCTAGTGAACTCTCGCTCGTACTCATCAACCGTACGAGTGTCCTGCTGGAGCGCTAAGAACTGACGCTCCATCTCTGCCCGAAAGTAGGAGGGTAGTACTTTTCGCGGACTAGCTCCTTGAGCATGTCCCACGTACATCCCGCTTTTTCACCGGGACGCATGCTCCAGTAGGCATTCCACTAGAGCCTAGCATCACCAGTGAGCTGAAGCTGAGCGCAAACTACGCGATATCTATCGGGGCAGTCCATGACCTCAAAGATAAACTCCAGGCCCTGAATCCATTCATCTACAATGCGGGGATCTCCCTGCCCTGAGAACTTTTCAGCGTGATAGTCGCAGAACTGTGCGACTACCGTAGCCTGAGTAAGAGCCGGATGATCGGGTTCTCTATGTGGTGGCATCTGAACATTGAAAAAAATTTAACATTATTGAATACGTGATAACATTCTGACTGATTACTAAGGCACACAGATCTCTTGACGAGTTGCCAAAAATGGCCGATAAATACTGACGTGAATCCTGAAGAACTCTAGAGTCATATCGGAAGATACTAATTTCTAGAGTCATATTTGAATGCCCTGAATTCTAGAGTCATATCTGAAAGTCCTGAATTCTAAAGTCCGATCCTGATTTGAGCATCTTAACTAAGGTCCTGATCCATAATTCTGAGCATAGACAAAGTAATATGTTTATAACTGAAAACATAAATCAGCACTTACCTGTAGTCGGCGGGGCGTGAGCATGACGGTTCAGGTTTTTCTAAAAATTACTGACTGAAAAACTTTTCAGAGACGCAGAAACGTGCTCTGATACCAATTGTAACACCCCGCCTTATCGTAAAATCAGAGTGCGAACATTTCGCAAAGTTATTTAAAAATAAAACCTTTTACTTTGCGAAAACTGATTCGGGGTGCTACCTTAAAATCGTGACTTAATTCGGAAAACCGTTACTTAAATTTTTAATAAAATCATACGGTTACTGAAAGCATAAAGTTTTCCAAAAGTCCATTCATAAGTTCGTCAAAAGCCATCATCAGCGGAAACGTAAATCGTCATATTATATATAC